GGTTTCACTAAGTTGCCCAGGATGCTCTCAGACTTAAAATCTCTCCCTCTCCTTTATTTAGTCCTCATATCTGTAATTCAACACTTGAAGGTAAGACAATTGTAAGTTAAAGGCTAGCAAGGGCTGGAGTGAGGCTCTGTCTTAAAATACAAAAATAAAAATAAAAATAAAAACAGCAGCAAAAAAACTCCAAAAATTTTACTTCCAGACCTACTATTTATTTATATAAGACTAATATTATTATTATTTTAATATAATAATTAAAATAATAATATTATTATTATATTTTATTATTATTTATTTATATAAGACTAATTTTGCAATGAACAAAACAACTTTAGCCCACCTGCTTGCTTATGAGTTTTTAATAGTTGTATGCTGTAGATAATACAGGTGGTGGTTGACAAAGTGCTGTTAAGTACTTGCCATGTGGTGTTAAGTACTTTTTTAGTTACTTACTAAGTGGGATGATGGCACACAGTGAACGCAATGTTGGCAGAAACTAGGAAAATGACATTATCCACCAATTTTCTGGGCATAGAGATAAATGCTTATACTTTTTAGGCACTTCATAGTCATGACCCAGTTAGGAAAACTGAGAGAAATATGTTGGTTTAGGTTTAAAACCGAATCCCATACCAGCTCTTAGTACTTCTACTAAAGCCTTTCTTTACATTTGGGGAAATATGTCTCTATTTCTTTTTATTCTTGGTTTTATTATTATTTTATTGTATGTACACGGTATCTTGCCTGCATATATGTCCATATACAATGTGCATGCTTGGTGCCTGAAGACGCAAAAAGACAGCATAGGATTCCTTGGAAATGGAGTGACAAATGATTGTGAGCCGTTGTGTACAGGCTGATGATCAAACCTGAGCCCTCCAGAAGAGTAGCTGGCGAACTCAGCTGCTGAATTCTCTCTCCAGTTGCTCTTTGAATGTTTTATTACACAATACACAAGCAGACATGCCTAGCTATGTAGAGATTATTTGGAAAATTTTAGGATGAAAAAAATGGTACATAAGGATATTGGTACAAATTACATAACTACAAGAGAATGAGAACGTCAGAACAATATCCAAAAGCTTAGAAGATATAGATGCAGAATGCAGAGATGAGACATCACCCTACCTCAGTCACCTCCCAATAAAATATCACTATATTATTGGGGGCACTTTCTGACATACTGTAAATGAAAAAAATGGTACATTTATTGTTTTAGAAATAAGGACTGAAAGGTACAAACAATCTCAATGGGCAGGTTAATCTGCTACAGTCCAGCGAGGATCAAAAGGCTGTGGCATGCTACTGTACAGTGGACTGACCACGTGATAATGCAGTGCTCATTTCCTAAAGCCTGAACACACATTCTGTGTGTTCTCACTACCAAGAAAAAATGAAAGTAGGACACAGATGTACTCATTGTCTTTAAAGTATGCATAATGTATACATGTATGAAATCATGTGGTATCCCAAAAAAACATATAAATTGTGTATTTCTAAAAAGAGTTGAATAAGAGACAAAAGGCAGAGGAGGTGGGAAAGGCCAGGAGTGCTCTTGGTTGAAAATCCTGGGCTCTCTTCTGTAGATACAATATTCTACACATTCATCAGTGACAGGGTTCTCATGTCTTCTTAAAAGAGTTTGTATACCTGGTTCTTAAAAATTCATGAGGGACTATGCTGGTTCAGTAAAGCGGTAGTTGTAGGATCTCCTATGACATCACCATTAGCCCTGCATGGATGGGTTTCCAACGAGAAGCATGATTTCCCTCTTATTTTGCAAATCTTAAGTTCAAGTAGATATCTGCTGGCTATTGGCAAGGTATGTTGCGAGAGAGAGAAACAGCCATGCCCAGTGAAGAGCCCCCAATTGTTTAATTCCAAGTTTACAGCCCTTGGTATATCATATACATACAGGTAACATTATATGGCGTGAACTTATACTTTAAGTTTATATAAGCAATTTATATATTAAAGGAACAGGAGCTATAAATGAGAGAGACAGAGAGAGAAGGAGTACATGGGGGAGCTGGAGCAAGGGAAAGAGTGAGGATATGATGTAATTACACTATAATTTCAGAAAATAAAAATATTGTTAAAAAGACACAAGAACACAAGGAAGAAACAGTAAATCCATGGACATAAACAACTTATGGAAATCAAGTGAGTTAGAATTTTGATCATTGTAAGGAACTGTTCAAAAATCACTCAGTGGCTGTGTGGCCGTTAAGTGGCATAGTGGCTTCCTTATGGGAAAATGAGGGAAGGAAGTCCACCTGTGTTGGGCTGAGCTTGCTCTCAGTGTCCTCAATTTCTCTCATCATCTCCTCTGGCTGATATTATGTTGGGACGCTTTTCCACTGTTTTCCATTTCTCCTTAAGAAAGTTTCAAAGTTGTAATTTAACTGTAGCACTGAGTTATAAAACTAAGGGAAACTTCACTGGTTTCAGTGTGCCAGTAAAACTAGAGCGAAGCTGTTATCCAAGGCTGCCTGCTGGACTGACAAATTTCCATGCCTTTCTGCTACATATCAGAACAGCTCTAAGGCGACCATTGTTCTGATTTTGGTTCCCAAGCTAAGTCATTACATTCACGAATCGCCACAGGCTGCAGATATAAAAAGGAATGGATCGCAGTTTCTCTGTAAAGTCACACTGGAAAACATTTGCTGTTATGTGAGCCCCCTCAAGCCCAGTGTCTTCAAAGCCAGTGTACGGTTTCTCATTAGCTGGTGTCAGTCATGATAGGTTAGTCTAGTCTTCTGCTTGTCCACCTGGATCATTCAGGAGGCAGTCTGGGGAGTTTCTGGACGTGGACTGGGAGCATTCATGGTTTCATTCTACTAATTTATAAACTGGAAACTAAGAGAAGACCCTGATGATGCATGATTTTACAGGAAATGGATGATGCGCTGATGTAAACTGCAGATAAGAGGAAGTATTCAAAGCAGGGTAACAAACCTGGCCAACACGAGTTTGAAGAACATGATACAAATGTGGTTTTTCTTTTAATTTAATTTAATTTTATTAATTACACTTTATTCTCTTTGAATCCCCCATAAGCCCCTCCCTCCACCCCTCCCGGTCCCACCCTCCCTCCCCTTTCTTCATGCATGCCCCTCCCCAAGTCCACTGGTAGGGGAGGTCCTCCTCTCCTTCCTTCTGATCTTAGTCTATCAGATCACATCAGGAGTGGCTGCATTGTCATCTTCTGTGGCCTGGTGAGGCTGTTCCCCCCTCAATGGTTTTCAGCTACTCTCTTAGCCGAGACTCTGTCATATGCCTGTAACACAGAGCTGTAGCGTGGCACCACCGCTCTTCCTTCTCAACTCTAACCGGAATCAGTTGTAACATTTTCAGTGTTTGTTTTGGTTCTTAGTCTACATATCTGAACATCTAAAGCTCTCACACTGCTCTTAGCCTTCAAACCTGGAGGCATCATCTATCGATCTCCATACTTTGCTATACACTCATCAGCTCTCATCTCCTCCTGACAGCAGAGGAGCGTGGTCACCTCAAATTTTGCTTGAAGATGTAGTCGGCATCAATAGTACTATACGTATATCCACCAACGTCTTACCACCAAGCAAGTCTGAGTATCAGTATTTTCTAGAATTAATCATGTTCTCTTCCCTGATTACCTTCCTTTCTTCATCACTAATGCCCCGCCCCAAGGGTTTCTTAATGTGATCTAACTCATCTTTTTATGCCACTTTTTTTCTTAAATGTCATTCAAGACATTTGGAAACCTCTCTCCTGCAGTACTTTGCCTTTTTCCTCCATTTTCAACTTATTTACCTATAAATATTTTTAACTGTATGTTGATACCATTATCTACTATCGTTACAAGAATTTCCCTTTTTCTTTTAAAATTCACCCATTTCTGAATTCCAAGTCTTTTAAGATGTTGGGTTTTTTTCATTCATTGAGCTGTAGCACATCCTCTGACAACTTTCTTAAAAAAAATGTTTATGACAGAAATTCTCAAGAACTTTAAACATATCAATTGGATCTATGATTGGTATAGAATGTTGACTTAGAAGGAACTCTCTTTTTGTATTTTTTTTAAAGGAATTCTTCTCCTGTCTTTTAGAGTAGATAATTCTGTTGAGAACTCTACTGTTAATCTGATTTCTCCTTTTTGTCCCTGAACACTTTTACAATCATATCTTTATTGGCAGTATTTAAACATTTGAAATGACAAAGGTTGAATTTGGCTGGACCTTATAATTGGACTCTATAGCTGGAAAACCATTAAGTTCTTATGTGTTAATTGATTTAATATGGTGATCTTTGAGTTGGTGACTTTGTACTTAGATAGAATGCAGTGCCAACTCTCTTTGCAATCCACTTTTTGTGGACAAGAGGTTTTGTGTTTTTTTTCTACTTTGATGAATCCAACTACTGCTCATCACCCTACTTTGGTTCTCAAGAAAAAGGTCTTACCTGATAATGTCTCCATGTTCAATTTATTTTTGAAAGGAAAAATAATCCTTAACTTTAATGTAATTTTTATGGGTACTTGCAAGAAACGATGAAATACTGATAGACATCCAGTATTGTGTTTTTTAGAAGAAATAACAGTTGGCATCTTCAACACATTTGCTAGTTGCTGATGATGAGGTTTGTAATTATTTTTAGGCTTATAGCATTATACAGAATAAACTTTTCCCCTGTTTTCCCTTAAAATGATAGAAGTAATTAGATATAAATCGGTACTCTAGTTTCCCATTTTCCATAATTGCTGCCGTATTTTCTCCTATTTATTGAGTTCAAACATTTTCTTCAAACTCAATTTTAAATCTTTTTGCTGTTTACTCACACACACATACACACACACACACACACACACACACACACACACAAAAGCATCGCCAACTTAACCATTTTTTATTCTGTGCATTGATCTTGGTGCAGCCTTGCACAAACAATAAACGGTGAATTTGTATCATTGTACAACATGCTTATGAAATAACCATTTCTTTTAAACATAGTGCCAAGGTCAGTAGAACACCATAAGTGGAGCTGGAGGACTAGAGCACAAAGCCGTGATTTTGATGAATTGAACCACATCCTTCAGGAGAGCAAGAAGCTTGGGAAAGCCCTTGAGAATCTCTCTCGAAGTAAGTTCATTTTCTTGACAATAATTAAATTTCAGAGCCATTTGTTAAAGTAGAAACATCCACCACTATCCATCTCTGACGTCCTCATTATCATTGTTGTAAGGCTGATGAATGCTAAAGGAGTGAGACTTGAAAGGAGATTTGACTGTGCCCATGGCACAGATCTGTCAACAACAGTAGGGCAGGAGCTACAGGAACTCTTGGAGCCGCTGGCTCTGATACCCCTGCACAGTTTCTGTCACATAGTTCAAATGCTCACTTAATGGCATCTTTACTCTCCTATTTTGAAAAATACCATTTCGTATCATTCTTTCTAAGAGGCATTCCTTTCAGCTCTGTGAGTTGTAGATCTTTATAAACTTCTTGCAGGGCAGTAACTGGGTCAAATTCTTCTTAGATTTCTTTCGGAGCCTAGCATGGTGTCATGGAACTTACTTTGTAACAAAAGTAACACCTATGCTCTGAGGGACAGGCATAGAGATCTCACTGTGTCATCTACAAGGTGACAAGCACAGATAAATCACTTACCTTCCATGAGCTGCTCCTCTCATCTCCAACGCAGCATGATGTGACTGTGGCTCCCTGGGGAAGGGTGAAGTTGTGAGGTAAGATGTTCTTCAGGAAGAAGAACAACAAGCCAACAACTATTTTGATAGTGTACTTTGGTGAATGTGCACTGAATTTGTAGACACACATGTACTTAACGACTTTCAAAGCAAGCTCACAGAATTCTTTGTCTACCTAGACATTTCTCTACTTCAAAACAACTTAGACATCTTCCTAAACAGGATAACATCATGGCTTCCTCATTTTTTTTCTTTTGATGCAATGGAAGGCTCGTGATTCTAAAATGTAAATCTAGATGTTTTTGTTCTGATGGTACAGTTTTACTAATTTCAAATATCAAAGTTTGTCCTTGTCCATTGGCATACTTTTGGCCAAGTTTTATAATACACATACCTATACATATTGTGCTGTTACACAGTACACTAATACTTAAATTTATGTGTTATATATTTATAGAAATATCATTTTTATTTAAAACTAGATCCAGTTTAAACTTTTTACAGTGTAGAGCTTTGAGAAGCTAAGATGTTAAAAGAAGTTAAAGCCCTCAGATAGGATTTAGCAAAGCCTTGCTTTGAGCTAGATTTACTTTTGGAGGGGAAAAAAAACAATAAAGCTTGTTATTGAATTGTGTTCCTGAAAAGAGCCTGATCCTATTAATATGGCAAAGACACATTCTTATATATCTAAATCTGATTATTTGGAGGGAAGTGATTGGGGCTGTAACAGCTTCTTGATTATTTATAAACACGAGCTAAAAGAAGGATGAATGAAGAACATGCCTGATCCTTACACATATCCATCAAACTGTGTCCTTTAAAATGACACAGTGGCCAAGTGAATACTTGCCTTATTGTTCATTCTAGGATACTTCCAGATGTGTCCCCAAACTGTTTACGAAGGGACTGTGGCAGTATTTAATGATGAACGTATATAGTTGGTAACAGAACTGTTAGTTAATGTTGTGCTCTATAAGAAAACACAACAGAGGCCCTCCGTGGCGGGTTTCTAGCTTGTTTCCTGTTTTCTTCTTCTTTTGATGTCCTTTCTCTTTGCCTTTCAGATGGGGATTGAGCATTTTAGTGAGGGTCCTCTCTCTTGATTAGTTTCTTTAGATGTACAGATTTTAGTAGGTTTATCCTAAATTATATGTCTATATGAGTGAGTATATACCGTGTGTGTTTTTCTGCTTCTGGGACAGCTCACTCAGGATGATCCTTTCCAGATCCCACCATTTACCAGCAAATTTCATGATTTCCTTATTTTTCATTGCTCAGTAATATTCCATTGTGTAGATGTACCACAATTTCTGCATCCATTCTTCAGTTGAGGGGCATCTGGGCTGTTTCCAGCTTCTGGCAATTACAAATAAAGCTGCTACAAACATGGTTGAGCAAATATTCTTATTATGTACTTAAGCCTCTTTTGGATATATGCCTAGGAGTGGTATAGCTGGATCTTGAGGAAGTGCTATTCCTAGTTGTCTGAGAAAGCGCCAGATTGATTTCCAGAGTGATTGTACAAGTTTACATTCCCACCAGCAGTGGAGGAGGGTTCCCCTTTCCCCACAGCTCTGCCCTGCAAACTATCAAAGTAGATGCTGAGACTTATGGCCAACTGTTGGGCAGAGTGCATGGAATCTTATGTAAGAAGTGGGATATAGTAGGTTATGGAGAGGACAGGAACCCCACAAGGAGAGCCACAGAGCTAGAAGATTTCAACACAGGGGTCTTCCCAGAGACCCATACTCCAACCAAGCACCAGGCATGGGAATAACCTAGAACCCCTGTGCAGATGTAATCCATGGCAGTTTAGTGTCTAAGTGGGTTACATAGTAATGGGAAGAGGGACTGCCTCTGACATAATCTAATTGGCCTGCTCTTTGATCACCTCCCCCTGAGGGGGGAGCAGCCTTACCAGGCCACAGAGGATGACAATGCAGCCACTTCTGATGAGAACTGATAGACTAAGATCAGAAAGGAGGAGAGGAGGACCGCACTTATCAGTGGACTTAGGGAGGGGCATTCGTGAAGAAGGGGGAGGGATAGTGGGATCGGGAGGGGAGGAGGGAGGGCCTAATGGGTGAATACAAAGTGAATAAAGTGTAATTAATAAAAAAATAAATTTAAAAAAACAAAAAGAAAGAAAGAAAACACAACAGGCTGGTGGATTGTATACCCCCTAGAACATACACAGTTCTAAATGTTGCAAAATCCAAGATTAAGGTCCTAGCTAATCCTTGGTTAGTGCACTCCTTTTTGTTTGTTTGTTGTTTACAGTTAGTTCCTTCTTTGCCTATCCTTGTGTGGTTGAGGGGTCAGGCAGCTCTGTGGGATTTTTTTATGTGTGCACTAATACCATTAATGACATAGGAGGAGACTTTGTGCCATAATCATTTCCAGGCCTCACATCTTTCTTACCAGTGTAGCACTAGATTTCAGGTTTTAACATATTGAATTTGAGGAGGTCACAAACATTTACACATGCACACACTTAGACCACTCACTGAGTTCTGCTGTCTGGAGTCCATGGTGGGCGTCTTTAAAGCCTCAGGGTAATCTGGAGAGGCAGTAACCACGGGAACTAGGAGCAGCAGAGGAAAGGGAGAGGAAATGTCTCTTGGGTAGTTTGCTACTTCTTACAGGACACTGAGCATCTCGCTAAAGCTTCACCTTCTTCCTGGTGAAGAAGTGCACCTGGTTAGGTCCAGGCTTTCACGGGTTAATCTGCTTATTTGCTCAAAGTCTATGGTATAGTAATCTGGCCAAGAGGCAACTATTTCTTCATACTCAGTATTCCTACTCAGAATCAGGAGAGAGAGAATGCACATGCATGAGTCTTAGGGAACTGTTTTATTGCTCCGCCTGTCAGAGCTACTGACCAGCCTACAACAGGCTCAGCTATGTACAACACAATAGAGATGTAAGATAAGTCACATGTATGAGTTTTTATTTTCAATTGGGCACATTAAAGAATCTAAAAACAATTGCATGAAATTAATTTTAGTGAAATATTTGCCCTAATGTATAGAGTAGCAATTTTTTTTAATTTTATTTTTTTCTTATCAGTTACATTTTATTAACTCTGTATCCTAGCCGTGTCCCGCTCCCTCATTCCCTCCCAGTCCCTCCCTCCCTCCCTCATCTCCACCCTGCCCCTTTCCAAGTCCACTGATAGGGGGGGACCTACTCCCCATTCATCTGATCCTGTTTTATCAGCTATCTTCAGGACTGGCTGCAAAGCTCTCCTCTGTGGCCTAGCAGGGCTGCTCCTCCCTTGGGGGGTGGGGAGGTCAAAGAGCCAGTCATTGAGTTCCTGTTAAAAATAGTCCTTGTTCCCCTCACTATGGGAAACCAATTGGTTACTGAGCTACCACAGGCTACATCTGAGTTGAGGTTCGAGGTTATATCCATACATGGTTCTTGGTTGAATGTCATAGACTAGCAATTTTATGCACATTCCATGTAAAAATGATCGCCAGGATCTGTAATCTTCACTCCTTAGTTCTTAGTCTTCAAAGGCTAGTGTGAATTTTAATTCCCAGCACATCTCAGTGAGGAGCAGTGCATTTTCACTGTTTGGTTTCCACATGAGGAGTAGCTGCTGTAACAGGCAGCACACGCTAATGTTAAAAACACACAGAGAAAGCTTTGCTCTCGAGTTTTAATTAACTCCAGACAGCTTCAGATTTTCATCATCATATCACATACAAAGTGTCAAAAAGAATAGCTAGTGTCTGGTGTCACTGCTGTGTCAGCTTCCTTTCACTTTTCAAGGCATCAACGACTCTGTTGAAATCACTTTTGCTTCCATCTCCAGATGATTTCAACTGCTGAAGAGAATGAAAAGTTTTGTGGTCCTCGTTTTCTACAGTTCAATTAAGCTATTAAACTCTTTGGCCTCTGACTTGTGGGGAGCTGGTAGCCACTTGATCTGCTCTGGAACCCTCATGGCATTTCTTGTAGGCTTTTCATAGGAACTCTTACTATCCTGTGATTCATCCTTTGACTCTGTTCTTTACTTTTCTGTCCAACTCCCATCCTCATAATTTATTCATCACTTCCAAACAGCTACTCAAATGTGTTTATTTTGACCTATATTTTTTCCCCCTCAGGCTTTTATAGGAGTGAATTTTTGACATATATCTTTATTCAGGTATCCCATATCACAGTCAATATATGTAAAGGAAACACAGCTTCCCTTTGAGGTAGCATTTTGCTGTGCTGCCTTGGGTCGTGCTACCATAGCTTATCAAACCCTTCTTCTATATTCTCTCTCTCTTTCTTACATCCCTCACAACAACTAAGGTACCAAATCTTGGTCATTTTTCTTTTTATCTTGCTTTGAATTTGACATATTTCTCCACTCTTATCAGAATCTTGCAGCTTACACCTTAATATCATTGACTAGATGATTGGTTTAACTGTTCACCA